GTCCCTGGAATACGATCCCCTGCCGCGAAGAATCGTTTTTTCATCCAAGTACACATTTTACTGTTGCGTTAAACAGAGGCTACAGTTAAGGAATTGCGCCCAGTAAATCCTCCCCGGCCAGGATACGAACCCATGACATAGCGCTCGCGGAACGCCAGGCGAGTGTCTTACCACTACACCACGGAGACTGCGAAGGTGAAAGATTCAGTGAAATCAGGGGTAGGGGGCATAGGTAAATCTAGCAAGGACAATTGAGTCAAGGGAGTGGGAGGACGGACCAGAGGCAGACAGACAGACAGTCCCGAGCAGGAGGAGGCATTGGAGAAGGGCAGTCAAAGGAATCGGGGAAGGGGGGGGGCAACAGGGGAGTGCACCTCATCAAGGGCAGCAACTGAGAAAGAATCAAGGACCAAGGGTTACCTCCATAGCTGGGACAGTGGTCTTAGCCACCGAAATGGGAGGGGATGCAGGGAAGAAAGCAATGCCTTCATACCTGCCGACATGGAGGGCCAAAAGAGGGGAGGGTTGGGAAGAAGGATTGGGGGAGGGGGGGAGAGAAAACGGAAAGAGGACACAGGAGACTGGGTTATGGGTTTCAAGAACAAGGCGCCGGGCAACAGCAAAATAAATAAGATGGTATTATCCAACCTACCAGTGATTGCACTCCATCAATACACATGTATCTTAAATGCAGCTCTTGCATCTGGACTATTCCCCACATACTTCAAGAATGCCACAATAAGATTAATCCCCAAGCCAGGTAAACCCCCAACCCAAACTGAAAACTACAGGCCAATTTCCCTCCTCAAAGTACCAGGTAAAATATTCGAAAAAATTATCAATCAGAGACTGGTGAAGTACATGGAAGAGGAAGGGAAGTATAACACCAGGCAGCATGGATTTAGAAACCGCAGAGGGGCCCATACAGCTATAGCCCTGATCTACCAGCATATAGCCAACGCAGTGTCGAAAAAAGATCAGTGTAATATAGTGCTTAGGGACGTCTCGAAAGCCTTCGACAAAGTGTGGCACACAGGCCTAAAATATAAGATATCTGAACTAGGGCTTCCCGAGAGATTTACTGCTACTCTGCAGCTTTATAGACAATAGAACTGCTAGGCTTAATATCGGCAGCTACTTGGGTGACGTAATAGAACTGAAAAGTGGAGTACCACAAGGAAGCTGCCTCTCCCCCACTCTATTCAACATATATACAGCTGACCTACCCCAGCCCCAACATGGAGAATACATCACATACGCTGATGATGTTACCCAAATAATATGCCAACCGGGCCCATCAAAGCCGCTACTAGCCGACAAGACCAAGGCAGCAATTGAACTCATAAACAACTTTGAGAGGCAATGGAAAATTAGCACCAACAAACAAAAGTTCCAAATAATACACGTTGCGAAAAGAAACCCGGACCCCATCATCCTTGATAACCAGCCGATCCAATATGCGGAGGTAAGCAGAATACTGGGACTTATGATAAATAGAACAGGGATACAAATTCATGTAAGGGACCGACTAAACAAAGCCAAAGCAGCATTAAGAAAACTGAGAAGATTCCGGAGCCTCAGTACTAACATTCAGATCCACCTATATAAGGCTCTAGTTCGGCCGCATCTAGAATATCCCCCAGTACCACTACACACCATAAAGAAAACTAACATGCAGAAACTGCAAGCAGTACAAAATAAGGCGCTAAGGAGAGCAGCAAAACACCGTCTACCATATGATCAGACAATCCAGGAGCTCCACGAACTCCTGAACATACAGCCACTAAACATCAGACTGCAGCACCAAGCCATCAGGGTATGGAACACCATCGAAATGTTAGAGGACCCAATGTTTGAAAGATTACTCCAAGATGAGACGCCCCGCTCCCACAGCTGGTGGCCCAAGAGCCTCGATTCTCTGGACGAAAACCCCGCCCCACAGTATATAATCCCCAGATGAGTTATATATGTATATATATGAACAGTTCATATATGTGTATGTATGAACAACTCTATAAATAATATGTATGACAACTCGATAAATAATAATAATAAAATAAAGAGCCTTAAACAGAATAACATGTGTGGAAGCATCGGAGTGTGTATATATGAATGCTACACAGTATTCATCTATGGACATCCATATATGGTGAAACACATGTGAAGAACCTCTCACACACTCACAGCTCCCTGACAAGAGGGAGCCAGCTTAGCTTAGCTGTCAACACCCACACATCGTGTCAGCAAGGCGGACAGCCCGCCTGCTTTCAAACCTCTCACTGTATTTCCCACTTCTATACTTCCCTTCACCTATGCCTCTCCTTCCTCTTTACTCCCCCCCCCCCAAAAAAAAAAAAAAAAAAAAAAAAAAAAAAAAAGTTGAGACTGGGAAGGAAGGAAACACCAGGCAGAGAACCACTAGGAAGACCACCTGGTTTAGAACATAAAGGAGCAGGCGAGGTGGTGGTGATGTCTGAGTTAAAGACCTGGAAATGGTTGCGAGACAGAAAGGAGGGGAGGGCGAGGAGAGGGGGAGTAACACATGAGCACAAGACACGCCAGCGAAAGAGAGGAGACTGCGTACTCTGTCTCTCACCTCAGGAAAAGAAACAATTACGGTGTTTCAAATCGAGGGTGGCCCTCCTCAAATTTGTAGTGCATACATGCACGGGAGAAAGTAGGGTGGGTGTCATTGCAATCGAGAGCTTGGGAAGAAGAGCACTCCATCTTAGAATGACCTGAGGTTCCACACAAGGGGCATACGCACATCTCACTTGTGCACCTAAAGGGACCATGCCCAAATCTCCAGCACCTACTGCAGAGGCAAGGAAAGGATATGTACTTCTGAACACAGCGAGCTTGGGAAGAAGAGCACCGTCTTAAGAATGACCCGAGTCCCCACACAAGGGGCATACACACACACTGCACTCGTGCATTAGAGGGAAGGATACCCAAACTTCCAACACCTATTGAAAAGTCTAGGAGAGGGAGTGTACTCCTGAACAGAGCATCTAGCACCAGCAAAAATGATAGAAGGCAGAAGGGACCTACTATCAAAAGTGATCTCCACAACTTTTAAATTGTAGACGACGATGACCACAAGCGGGATGCATGAATGTATCAAACTCGAAGACGGAATGGCCTTAGGCTTCAAGCATATCATTCATTTAATATCCTCGTGACAGTCTTTCAGGTCCCCGACACCAGTCGCAACATGGTGCGGGAGAATAACCGTGCCAATACTGGCATTTAACTGGGCATTTTTGGAGATCTTAACAAGGGGTCTCCCCAATGCTGGACAATGAGGCCAAGTAGTCAGCTGCTTCCCGAGAAGGAGCGGCAACGACATGTGTACCAGTAAGGGTGGGGTTAAGAGTTAACAGAGGTATCCACCGAATCAACAAGGTGTTTATGGAAGAAGAAATTGTCAAGACGTTTAGAATCCACACGGTTGATATCAAAGTACTGAGTCCATGTAAACCAAACAATGCTGGAAATAAGTAGAACTGGGAGGAATTGTGTGGGTATGTCTGCGGAGGGAACAGCGCCACAAACCCCCAGTAAGATGAGGGGGTAAAAGGTGCAGCGGTCACAATGAGAGGAAGAGTCACTCCAGGTGATGAGGTGGGCAACACTAGGGGCTTAACCCCACCACAGAGATGGGAAGAGAAAAGAAAGGGGTAGTCAGGAGGGTCAATGAAACCATTTGGTTTTGACCCAATGTAGGAGGGGGTGGGTCCTGCAGAGCCCAGTCTTCGATTAGTCAGACTCTGGAGGTGCCTGGTCGCACACTCCACAAGCCTGGGTAAGAGGCCAGTTCATTTTCCATACAGCACCAATTCTAAGTCTGGGGCCTGGAGATATCATGGGATACCACCTACCAGGGAGGCCAAGCACTGGTCAGTGCAGGAAGGGCTGCATTGTCCTCAGCAGTGCCCCCCCCCCCTTTTTTTTATTTTTAAACAGAGGGAGTTTTACAGCCTTGTCCATTCTCCCACTGGTGGAAAGACCCCAGTCTTCCCAGCCTGGACACCCAACCATCCACTTAAGGTAGCCCCTCCTGCAGGTCTGTTGACTCAAGGCACCTACATTTGTGCCCTTTCACACATACAACTCCCAAAGAGGGGCATGAACGTGGGCAAAGGCAACCCTCATCGGTCCCAGGGAGGTGTATGCGAGCTCCCTCACCCTGACAAGGTGACAACACAGAGGGGGCACCATGGTAAGTAAGCTCTACATCAATATTTCCAGCACTTACTGCAGTAGCACAAAGGGAATTTATTCCTACACCACACACTTGGCAATAGCAAGGATTACCGAGGGCAAGAGGGCACTACTACCGAAAGTGATCTTAACACAAAGGGGTGAACAAATGTTTAAGTTGCTGTAGCAATCACAGATCCCTGTTGCAACATACGAATGTCAATGGTGGCATTCAAAGCAGGTTACACAACCTGTCCCAAGAGGGGGGGGGGAGGGCCCCAATACCCTTGGGCAAAATATAAAAACTGGGTTCAACTCCCAGTTTTTCCAGAACCTTTACCTTCCCAAGGTGAAGGTTCTGGAAGAGATGGCAATAAATTGGATAATTCTAATTATATGCAAATGTATCTTTGAATCTTTTGTGCTATCCACTGCCAAAGCAGGCTCGAGAGAGTAGAAGATATCTTTACCTTGTACACCTCTACAGGTATGAACCAGCATGCACATACCCCATCGCCACACCATGGCCGTGAAATCTAAGAATTTCATATTTGTAGACAGGGGAGATAGTTCATTTACAATTTACTCCAATGCTGTAAGTATGACAATAAATTTATTTACAGCATTTCAAATTTATGAATTCAGGCATAACACACTTGAAACTTGGGTATTAACCATAAACCTCAATCTTTGTTCAAACCAGTCTACTTTTTTTAACAGTTACCCCTTGACTTAAACTTCCTTACACTCATGCCATTAAGATGTCAGATGAACTTGAGAAAATAAAAAACAACACCTGTGCTTTAATGTTTATTGTAAAAATAGATGTTCAAAAAGCACATTTATGTGGACGATGACCTCCACATTACCTCGTGGACGTTAGTGGTGTCCATCTGCTGCCCCTGCATCACTTAACCAATGCTCTCTAATGCTGCCAATTATAATCACCTGCAGGGGCAGTGTTGTGGAGGATAAGCCCTGACAACTTATCCACCCAATCTTTATGCTCCACACACACACACACACTGGAGCTGGTCTTCCTACAATCTCTGATTGAACTATAACCAATTTCTCCACTATCACATAATAAATCAGGTCAAATCCTTAAAGTGGCAGGTAACCTGTATTAATAATTTACTACAGGAAATTCTTGGGTCAAAAAACTAATAAAAAATATGATTTTCTGAAGTTTCATCGCATTAAAATGTATCAAAATGAAATTATAGCAGTTATTAAATTTGCAGGAGGAGCCCTGTTGGGTTGCTTACCATATTAGTTTAACTTAAACATTTACTCTTCCTCTATCTCTTGCTTGTGGTCCCAAGCCTAGATACATCTCACCACTAGCAGGCTCCACTTTTATCTAATTCAGTCTATCACTTATTAGGAGGGCCCTATTTGTACATTTTTTATACTGATTTTGTTCCATTTGCCCCACAAAAAGGAACGGCATATTAATGTCATAGCATAACAATGGCTTCCAATCAGTCAGCCACTGGATAAACAAAGTCCTTTGCACCTACAGAAGACTTAAGATAACATTGCTGGCTTGCAACCAACACCCAGTATCACCATGAAAAGAAAACCTGTTCAATAAATCCATCAGTCACTTGCTTATCTTAATCACTCCAGTTGCCTGTCTACCATTCCTCTTTCCCAACAGCACACCAATTTATTCCATAAATATCAGCATTCCAGAGCACTTCTATCCAGTCACATCTTGCCATAAACTGAACAGGTCAAGTCTTCTACAAAATATGGACCATGTATATTTCAGGTATCATGCTATCTGCCAACAGATAATCACCGAAGCATTCATTATGCTTCCAAAAATCATTTTCCAGAAGGCTAATTATTTGTTTAACCAAAATACTCAATTTAATACTTTCTAACTTGTTAGAACTTTCAAATCTACTTGCACTTTACTGATGCACCTTTCACATTTTTTAAACATTTTCATCCATAGCATCAAACACCAAATTAAGGTTAATGTCAATTTGCATTGATTAAAGCTTTAAAAATCTCCTTACCTAGGTACATTCACCCTAGAATATTTTGTTGCCATCTTTTTTTTTTTCCCTCAACCTTTATCCTGATACTAGGAAGATGCAGTACTTTTTAATTTCCATTACTACTTAGTCGGCGTAGAGTTCCTGACGACCGTAGATGCATAAGAGTTCCCAGTTCCACCTCTTTGTGACATGCCATTCACGTTTACAATCCCACCTCGACCGCCACCTCTGCCACCACGATAAGCCCCATTGCCAGTCCTGTCGAAAATATAAATAATTCAATTTTTTTATTTGTTAAAGAAATTGAAGATGTCGGTATTATAATGCCATTCAAGGCAATGTTCAAAGTAATTATATATGTCAAGTTTATAGATGTTAAGGATGTAATGAAGCCACCTGTGATGGATTATGATCATGCTGGTTGAGAAAGTTAAGGCCACCATTTACTGCTGCTGTATGCAATTTTCCCAACACCATACATGGAAAGAAAGGGAGTTACACTATCGCTGGTAAACATCAATCTTGCTATATTGTGTATCAACTTCATAATTTAACACAGACTCCCATTTTATATTCATACAGACCTTTCTATACACAAGTGGGTTGTCATAGTCATTGTATGTAGCTACAGTAATTTTCATGCAAAAATTATCATTGTCCATACCTATAATATCCTTGGTTATAATTATAGCTCCGATAGTAGCCACCACGGTAGTAACCACCTCTACCACGAGGGTAGTAACCTCTCCTTGCAGAGCTCACACCAAACGTTTCCACATTTATCTTGCGCTCATGCCTCCAATCTGGACGTTGGCTATTCCTGAAACCATAATTTTGTTAAAGGCTTTTTACTAGGAATAAATAATATTTAATAGTACAAAACATTGGAGAAAAAAAAAAAAAAAAATTGGTAATCATACATTTACAGCTTGACCACCAACTCAGTTTTAGGATAACCACACAAGATATCAAAATTGGTTTGTCACCGTTTCGACTATTCCGAAGAAAGTTATGCAGTACGAGATGAAATACGAGGAAAACAAAAACCCATAAGAATAATTCTCACTGAAAGTATAGTACAGCAATTTACAATCTCTTATGCCCTTAAAGATTTGGGTATCATTTTCTTAGAATGTCAAGCCTGGAGTTCTGTGCTAATTTAAGGGGGCCAATTCCCACCATTCACTCTTAAAAGCTCTAGCAAAGACCCTGTCACTGATGTGTTTTGTACCCCTTTTATTAATGCAGTTCATTGTAGCCAATGACAATTACACTTCCTGGGCAGGTAGACTAGGACCAGTTTTGATGCAAGATGAGAGACTAATTATAATTAGGCCTGTGTGGGGTTGCTGGAAACCTTATACTGTACTGCAATCACCATGAAAGACCGATGGGAGACCAAGAGCTTTGCCAAATGTGCACCATACAAATGGTGGCATACCAGCATCAAGCTCTAATCTTCACATCTGGAGAAGAGACTCAAACCAGCAATGAACAAGTAATTATCAAAGAAAGCATCAAGCTGGGAAGGCTATGTAGCACCAACAAATGTGCAGAATAATCAGAGGGCGCTAAATATCACCGAGGATGCCAACATGAGAACAGAAACGCATAAGGCGAACGATATCAAAAGTATCCGATTCACCAAGAATTGGATAGAGGGACAAGTGACCACGGGGGACGGTCGGAAAGCAAGACACACGCTTGTCCTGGAAGTCAGGACATTCAACAAGGATATGCACAACTGAAAGAGGGACAATGCAGTTAGGACAATAAGAAGCAGGGCGGCGTTCCATGAAGTGTCCGAGTTGAGCACGTATGGCCAATACGCAACCTTGCCAGAGCCATTTCCCATCGCCAGTTACGGTGGTAGGAGGAAGGCCACAGGGACACACTACTCTTAAGGGTATGCATTTGTTACCAGTAACAGAGACCAACAACCCTGCCAACGGACAAGGATGGAAGAATGAACAACTGGGTAAAAGTCGACAGTGACGAACACCTCCAGACTAATTTGCTGAAAGTGGAGCCGTGGAAAAAATGCCTGGCTTTCAGGCATTTCTGGCAACACTGATAGAAAAGCTAGAAACAAATGTGGCAAAGGAGCCAAAAGAATTACCCTGCCTATGTTCAGCCCACAGTTGGGGATCCCAGGTTCGATCTCTGAGCAGGACATACAGTTGGACATTTCTTGTACCTTTGTTCACCTAGCGGTAAATATGTTCGAGTTCCACAACTGTTGTGTGGCCCTGTCCCCAACAATTAAAATTTTAAGTTCCCAGTCTAGATAAAACCCGAAATCACTGAACTGGGGAGGCAAAAAGTAGAGAATTCTCCACTTTGAACAGTCAAGCCAAGAGGCTTGCATTCAGTGAATAGACACGTGTATGATGGAAGCCACCTGCTCCAAGCCAACACAGACCCACCTTGGGGTAACCGAACATCTTCCAAAGCCTACAGAAGGAAGCACTGTCGATTCATTCCACGACAAAATCAAGCCCCCAAAATCCAGAAGACGAGCTACTCACAGAGTTCGACTCCAAAGAGGAAAGGACCGAAGACAACCACTGACCGACACTGAACCACCAGGAAGTGGTTGGAATGGAGCCAGAGAAGAGAGCCTGGCAGGAGACTAGCCCAACACTGCAAATAAACTGTACTGTACCTGAAGGAGGGGTCACTTCCACTGACCCTGGGAGGCCTGGTGAGCACTGGTCACAAAGCCCCAACCAAGGCCTAGGCGTTAACACACCGAGTGAACAACGAGGAAGGCACCATGGAACTGAACCTTGAAAAGCCAGAGGAAGAAACTGGAAAATCAAAAGCCGGCTGTATTTTATTTCGCTTTGGTTGTAATCAAGTGTAATGTCACCACTTTGCAATGGTATATTGCTTCAGCAATGCAGCCATGGATAAAGACATAAGCAAGTATCCAAGATCCTTTATCAAACAAGGAGCCAACTGTGGGGAAATCTTTATCAGACAACCATACCTGCATCTTTAATAATATTGATCATGCAAGGCCCTCAAAGTTAAGGAATGCAATGCAGAAGTCCTTTCCAGGGTCAACAGCAAAATTTATTTTAGTAGGGCCTAAATATAAATAGTACAGAGCTTTGGAGCTGGTCACTTGTGATAGTATTTCAATGAGCTTAGTGTGGCAATGTTCAGAGGGGGATCAACAGACACTATGTACAAAAGTACATGTTTATACAAAGAACTTTCCTGGAAGCAACTTCAACTGGCATTATTCAAAGCTAATATCGAGTTAGACACCATCTCCGACTGCTCACACGGCAACGTGTGTCGACAATCTTGTTGACACCGACACAATTGGGGCTGCTGTAACAATGCTGGTCACAAGTGAATTGACACTAGTTCATCCCATGATCTCTGGAACACTTACGTGCACATAAGCCAACATGCATTAGCTTGAGGTTATCTCGAGATGGTTTCGGGGCTTAGTGTCCCCGCGGCCCGGTCCTCAACCAGGCCTCCACCCCCAGGAAGCAGCCCTTGACAGCTGACTAACTTCCAGGTACCTATGCGCCCGGGATCGAACCCAGGACCACTCGTCCAGTGTTCTGTCTGCTCAGCCACCGGCTGCATCCTTTCGCAAAAGCCTTCAACAAATGTGCCCATGGCATTATTGCATACAAAACGTGTTAAAAAGGAATTATCGGAAAAACAGGCAGATGGATCTACAATTTCTTGACTAACAGAACCCAATGTGTAATAATCAACAAAATAAAATCCGATCCATCAACCGTGAAAAGCTCAGTCCCCCAGGGTATTGTGCTTCCTCCAGTACTTTTTCCTCATCCTCATCTTGGACAGAGACAAGGACACAATCTATAGTACTGAATCATCCATTGCAGATGACTAGGATTTTTAGGAGAGTGAACAACAGAAGACATGGCAAACCTCCAAATCAGGTGTAAATGGGGTCTTTCTATGGGCTACAGAAAATAAAGTGTTTAACGAAGATAAGTTCTAGCTCATGCGCTATGGGAAAAAATTCAACATAAAAATGGAAACCACATACAAAACAGTCAACCATAACAGAACAAAAAGGCAATGTTAAGTATTTGAGTGTACAGCACTCGTGTCTGAAGACCTTACCTTTAAAGAACACAAAGTAGCAGTCACAACTGTAAGAAAAATGACAGGTTGGATAACACGAACCTTTCACACTAGAGATCCTATACCAATGATGATACTTTTAAAGAGGCTAGTGCTCTTTAGAGTGGAATACTGTTGCACAAAGACAGCCCCTTTCAAAGCTGGAGAAATTGCTGATCTGGAGAGCACGCAGAGATCCTTTACTGCTAGAATCCACTCAGTAAAACACCTAAACTCTATTGGGACCGACTAAAATGCCTAAATTTGTATTCTCTTTAATGCAGGTGGGAGAGATACATAATTCACATGTGGAAAATAGTAGAGGAGCTGGTCCCAAACCTGTGCACAGATATAACATATGAGACCAGAAGGCATGGCAGGCTGTGCAGCATGCCCCCATTGAAGAGCAGAGGTGCAATAGGTAATCAGGGAGAGAACTATCAACATCAGAGGCCCAAGACTATTCAACATGCTTCCACTACACACAAGGGGGGCATAACTGCCTGACCCCCTCACAGTGTTCAGGAGAGAATACTTTACATGCTGATCCAAAGGATCGGGTATCCTCCAAAGGATACCCGATCAACCAGGCTGCGAATCATACATCAGGCTGCGAGCCGCTGCATCCAACAGCTTGGTTGGCCAGTCCAGCAACAAGGAGGCATGGGCCGCAGGGACACTTAAGCCCCGAAACCATCTTAAGGTAACCTTTCACATGATCAACTTAGCCCAGATCGGCATGGTTTTCCAGGTGGGCTTCTTGATCCTAGATATCCAGGACATGATACTTTTATCTTATTGCATGTACTTGCACATCCCAATTCATTCATGATTCATGGCCTAGTTTGGTTTTGTGGTGCCCAGGGAAGGGGAGGGGGGGGGGGGGAGGGGCAATGCTTACTGCTTTCATGTACTCTGAACTTTGCTCTTCAGATCCTTACTTTGTTAGCACAGGTGGTTATAATCAGTGTCCCTTTATCCCCCCACCCTTATGCTGTGACCCTATGCTGAAAAAGTAAGTTTACATTATCCAAAATGGCAAAGTCCTAGACTCTTGGCTTCCGTAACATGCATGCTTGATTCATCCTGATTAACCAGATACTGGACATACGATAGTCATCATGATACTGTTAGGCAGCTGGCGATGTGGACTCAAACATGTTCAACATCCCAGATTTTAGTCCAGACAATTATTTTAGGCAACAAACACTAGTATATGTGCACTCTGGCAACCAAGGACTAAGGATTTCTCCAACTGAATGCGCTACAATGTACACTTTTAAGACAGCGGTCGAAATCACTCGTAATATGACGTGCGTGGCGCTGTATCAGTGCAAGTAGCAACAGGAAGCCACTGTTCAGCCCCCTCCATAAAGTGAAAGGGGGGGGGGGATTGTGCAACACCCAGGTTTGGCATCAGTGGAAGCCTCAGGAACCCTTGTGGATTAACAATGCACAAGAAATTCATGTAAATTTAACTTAATTTAGCTGGACAACAACATTATTCAACCAACTAGTTGGTTGAATAATTTTTACGTCCCTAATATTCTTCAGTGTTTTTATCAAGATATCTCACTACACTACCATACTAGCAAGTAACAATCCTGTATAAGCATTTCAGTGGTTATAGGTCCTCTCAAATTGCCTTTTTAACAAGGGAGGTGGGGCAAGGTGAAGCAATGGACTTTATGAATCAAGCAGTCCCTTATGCATGAATCTACCTCGCCTCTTAGTTCATTCAAGCATGTTCACACTACAATCTGTATTAACGTTTACTATTAATATTTATTGCCAGTAATATTTATTAATAACATTTATCTATCATAGCTAAATAAAACATGTGACAACAGTTCTTACCCTTGACTGCGTTCAATGGATTCGCAGGAAATACTGTCGAAGAATGACTTGGTCTTGTCATAACACGTCGACTGAACGTCATCATCTGTTCCAGCAGTTTCATGTCCAGAATCTTCCTTCTTATCCCCATTCTCTGTAATCTTGGTTTTTGCCAGTTGATTTCTAACTTCCTCAAATTCCTCATTTGCCTGCTCAAAGTCAAATTCCGTCTCGAACAACTGACGATCCTGGAACTGTCTCTGACGGTTTCCTTGATTAAATATCTGCCCTCTGCCACGCTGGCCCGAGGGCCTTCTACTGCCACGGCCACGGTTCATGCCACCTCTTCCTTTGTATTGCTGTTGGTATTGATAGTACTGGTTATTATGATACTGTTGCTGTTGGTTTTGTTGAGGCTGCTGCTGGTTCTGCTGCTGTATCTGTTCAGCCATTTGTTGCTGTGTCTGCTGTTGATTACTGCGGCGACTTTGGCCACCCTGGCTCCCAGTCCTTTGTGGTCTACTGCAAATAAAAATTTTATACATTATAGTTTTTTTGTATCATTATAGATTAATTACCAAGCCTAAATATATTTTTGGCAAAATAGAAGCAACTTTCCAAACAAGACCTTAAATTCACACAATTTAAATTCACTTTTTCACCAAGTCTATGCAGCAAATAATTTAACTACACAATTTATTGACAAAGAACAATGAGGGCATCCTAATGTTTAAATGGTATTTAATTCTATATGTAACAAATTTGGCAATCACACGACATCTCTAGTTCCCACAAGCCAGGTACTGTATACATCAATAAAAAACATTATGAAATCTTGCATCTAGAGGGGTTGGAGCGTGTATTTGCAGTAACATTTTTGGCAAACAAGTCCTCAATATCACCGCAAAACACAGGAATAAAGTCTTATCAGGAATTAAAAACACCAAAGGCAGAGCCTAGCCTTTTTTTTGCACAACAAAAAATGCAACTGGTTCAAATCACTACCGACTGAACCCAGATGACCTTCAATTACAATGGAATTTGCCTCAAAAGAGCCAACATAATCTCCATCAACCAATAACATTGCATCACCTGCCTTTGTGCTGCATGTAACAGACAAAATTGCATTCTCACAAGTGACAGACACTGGCCAATACCAAGCCGAGTCTACTAACACTGCCTCAAATAAGAAGACCACTCTCGCCACATCATCACTCCCAAGATCATGTTGGGACACCTGCATCTTGTCAAGTATCATCACTACAATGTAGCGAGTAGATTATCCCAATAATATACTCGCTCCAAACGCATTAGCCTAACGAGAGAAGCAAAACTCCTCTTGGTACTAATTATGGAATGCAAACCTTTCCCGCCAACCTTTGGAGGTGTTGCCCGAGCATATAAGCAGCAGAGTAGAGAGTAATAACCAGTCTACTTTCAAGTGTGGTCTAGAACAGACACTTGCAAGATACTGTACCTACTCTCGGTGCACTCTACTCACACGCCAAGGTGTGACCTGTATACTCGACCAAATATATATATTCTTAGTGTTTGTGTTTATTGTCACCATACTTTATGTAACAATAGAACTGTTACATTGGTGACCCCGGAGTGAAAAGGACACCTAGTCGCAAACAAGATCTTCGTCGTGGATTTATCTACCAGGTTTCCAGCATACAACGCAGATGAACCAGAATTTTGGTTCGTGCAGATGGAGGCTATTTTCGATCACCACAAAATTACGACAGAGAGCCCGATATGCCTGTACCCTGCCAACACTTCCCTCGGAGACTATGCACACTGCCTCTGCTGTCATCACTGCACCATCACCAGACACCAGGACGTACACCGCATTGAAGGCTGCTCTTCTACAGGCAGCGATGAAACACCGCATTGAAGGCTGCTCTTCTACAGGCAGCGATGAAACGCCGCATTCAACAAAGGGATCAACTCCTCACCGACAAAAGATTATCAGACAAAAACACCAGCCCAGCTTCTGCGGCATATTCAGTATGTAATGCATACTGCAACTGGCCCGGCCCCCAGCAAGATTGTGAGATCACTCTGGATACAACTCTGTCCAAAACACATTCAACCGGCCCTATTCAGTTTGGCTGACGACACCCCATTAGCACAGCTGGCTACACTGGCAGACCGGCTTCATACGACGTTTCATAACGCTACACTGTCCCACCTCAGTAATACACAGCAGACTACAGACACCCAATAACTCTACGTTCTCCAGAACCGGCGTTTCTTCCACCCAGGGAGGACGTACCACACTAATCCAGTATCAGGATCTAGGTGACAGTGAGAACACCGAGAAGAGCCTTGTTCTTACCACCAGAGATCTGGACACCAAGCCCGCAACTGTAGGACTCCTTGTTCCTGGTCGGGAAACTACTTCGGCGAGGACTGTTAATGGCCAGTAACCCCGCCATTTTAAACACTACACTGCTCTACATATCTGACATAATTAGTACCAAGAAGAATTTTGCTTCTCTCGTTAGGCTAATGCATTTGAAGCAAGTATATTATTGCGATAATCTACTCGCTACAACAGTATTATTAGCAATACCTGTAATGCAATATTACGGTATTTTGTTTAAAGTATTCAGTAAAGCGGTAAAGTGTATAAAATTTATAGGACACCTAAATTTTTAAAAGGTTTCACTCCCAAGAGTGCAGGAACAAGAGGCTTATATTCTACATCCAGAAAATATTATAGGTACGGATCAAAATCCATACAAGTAAATAATTTCTTAAAGATACCATGAGGCATGGCAGAACGTCCCAAAATATACCCCTTCATTTCAGAGGAAATATCAAGTACCGAGATTTCTACGAAACGAATTAAGACCAAGCCTTTTTCTCCCCTTCCCCCTGAACACCAGCATAATCAGTTAACCTCTTGGCATTTAACCACCGTGCTGCGCCGTTTATTGTAAAATTCCCCGTGCGCATGAAATAAAGTGTTCCCAATAAATTCTTTTTTCTTCGTAAAATGATAAATTCCCTTCCCTGAACATGTCTATGTAAAAATAAGTACCAAATTCCACTTACTTTGGCTGTGGAGATGTGGACAAGGTGCGCTGTGACCATCAGGGGCTGGTCGCCCGTGCGTGAATCGCCCAGACACTGTCGCGCGGGCCATTCAAGCACCGGGTGTTGTCACAAATATATTTTCAATTATTTGTTTTATGTATTTCCGATGCGTTTTTTTTTTTAACGTACATGATGCATATTTATTGTCACAATATTACTTGTTAAAAATTTACTAAAATTACAATATGTACAGTTTCTCACACTATTTACACAGTAACACTGTATTACAAACTCAGTACTTCAAAAGTGAGTAATAATCAACGAAGTAGTCCATGGTACACAGAGCGATTTCGCTCTCGTTGCACCAGGTACAGATAAATTTTCACTTCCTGTTTTTTCATTCTGTGTGCTTGCAAATAACGCACTCACGTACACCCTTTTCTTTAGTACTTGTACTGTAGGTTGTATGTAGCCAAGCTTTCAAAGCATTAGGTAGTATTGAAAAGATCATAGGAAAAGATCAATTTGTAAGGTTGTCTTGAAAAGATCGCTTTGTATGGTCCCACACAGGAAGAGATTCGGGTATTCTTGAAAATATCTATGGAAAATGCCACCATGGAAGCTGCTAACACTTTATCTATGCTACTTTTATCAGATGCATCATCACTAAACACAAAATGATTCATCTATGTATCATCTAAATAAATTGGAGATAGCATAGGATTGCAAGGGGTGACGCTCAGAGCTACAACTGGATATGCTCGCTGTATCACTTGCATCTGACCTTTGTGTAAGATCCTTATTGCGCCTAGCTTCACCAATATTATGACCCTTATGTCCTTCAAATAATAAGATTTGAATTTCCCCGACAGTGTTATCTTTCAACACTGCGTCCGATAGGTGTTTGGGAGCCAGGCGCGCGTGCGCCACCCATGGTTGCTCATTCAGTACTAACCCAGCCAGCAGCCCTAGGGCATTCTGGGAATTTTTTCAAGATGGCTGCCTCTCACTGGAGGTCCTAAGAGTCCATTTCATACACAACCAACCTCTCACATTTAGAATGAGTACGAAAAAATCTAAGTGTTCGCAGTTGGCACAGTTTCCTGCCGAACGAGAATACTCGGCTGGCGCAGTCAAGTGGTTAAGAGGGACATTTTGAACTAGCTCATACAGCTAACCATCAACCAGATAGAAATGTCTACATCAGACTGCATGCAACAGTTAGGGGGACCAGAGGCATATGGCAAGCAGGACTGGTGGGTATATGAATTTGGCAGGAGTGGAATGCATAGGTATCTGGCAGGCAAGTGTTGGCAAATCTTAAGTGGCTGATCATTTTACTACAGGCCGATGTCTATGGGTAAACGAAGCATGGATTCCTATTATTGTTCATCAGCGAGACTACTGTGCTGCAGTTTTGGTATTTTCTTCATCTCCTCTCAATTGCTGGACCACTGTGACTATCACTTTAGCTGTCATGGAAGAGCAAACATGCTGACAATGTATACACACAGATTTTGCAAAAGCTTTTGACAAACTTGACCATGGTGTTATTTCACACAGTGCACTCAAAGAATTGCTAGAACAGGAAGAAAGATTTTCAGTTTCCTAATAAACTCAGTGTAAAATCCAGTAAAATAAAATAAAAAGTAAAATCCAGATCATTCGCAGTGAAAAGCTCAATCCCCGGGATACTGTGCTTGCTCCAGTACTTTCTCAGATAGGACATAGACAAGGACAAACTATAGAGTAGAGCAGTGGTTTCCAAACTCTGCTCTCATTACCCATTTTGCCCCTTTGCAGCGTACTTATTAGCCACGTAACTGCGCCAAAAAAAAAAAAAAAAAAAAAACTGATTTTTCGGTACTAATTCTAAATGTGAGAGGTTAGTTGTGTACGAAATGGACTCTTAGGACCTCCAGTGAGAGGCAGCCATCTTGAAAAAATTCCCAGAATGCCCTAGGGCTGCTGGCTGGGTTAGTACTAAATGAGGAACCATGGGTGGCACACGTGCCTCTGGCTCCCAAACACCTGTCTGATGCTGTGTTGAAAGAACCTCTGTCAGTGAAATTCAAACTTTATTATTTGAAGAACACAAGGGTCATACATAATATTGGTGAAGCTAGTCACAATAAGGACCTAACACAAAGGTCGGATGCAAGTGATACAGCACCTATGAGGACGATACAGTGAGCGTATCCAGTTGTAGCTCTGAGCGTCACCCTTACAATCCTATGCTATCTCCAATTTATTTAGGCGATACATTGATGAATTGTTTTCTGCATTCAGTGATGATGCATCTGATACAAGTAGCATAGATGAACAGTGTTAGCAGCTTCCATGGTGGTGTTCTCCATAGATATTTTCAAGAATACCTGAATCTCTTCCTAATTGACGGACACTCTTTGAGGCAAGCTGAATCTCTGTGTGGGACCATACAAAGCGATCTTTTCAAGACTACCTTAAAAATTGATCTT